ACAAACATGCTCGTGCTAGTAGGGCATCTGTCATAATGCCCCTTTGATAGTCGTAGAGATCCTTGCTCTTATTTATTGTTTTGCAGACGAATTATGATATTAATCTGCATTGACACGTAAATAAATATTTATTCTACCACCGATTCCTGTAGTTAGCCGCTACTAGTAGAAGTTTATTAGTAATGCTACTCTCCTGAAGCAACGGCAATGTGTCAGCCTGTAAGGTCTGTTTGTTAATGGTAGCAGCATCTAATAAAAGTTGTGCATTAAAACAGTGCGAGGAATATCACACATACAATATACGCGAAAAAATACTTTAAAAATTAACAGTGCAATTCTTTCTTTTATCTACTTTCGTAGTAAACTGCCAGTTTTATAATTACCCATCAGTCGCTTAACAAATTGTGTTTATAAAAGTTAAATGTCTCCTGGGTGGGTCAGCAGTAAGTTCATGGACTTAAACCACTAAGATCCGGGGCTCAGTTCCCCGCGACGGAGAGCGTAAAGATGGTTAAACATGGTGGGCAGATCGCCCAGTCTCAATATCTACCGTAAATGGGATGACAGAATCTTGTCATTCGCTCTGTCTGCTGTTACTGTTATGTGCGACCCGTCGGTGCCGTTAGTCGTAGCTAATATTTTCAGGATCAGGTGGCTTCTAGAGATGCATATGTTAAAGGCCCTAATCAAATAACCGGTCATTGTATAGCCTAACATAGTTACATAAGTACATTAAGTTTGTTGGGCTTTCCAGAGTAAGTAAGATATAAACTAAAATATACACTAAACACGGTTTCTTTAGCCGCCTATATGTGTCAAGGACGTTTCAGTTAGAGTAATATTTTTATATCTAGGCCATTTTAATGAGTTATAGAAACAAACACATATCCCGTTTCTGCTTGTTGCTTAAGTGGAGATAGTATCCATCAGAGTATAAATGGAACAAGCAGGAGATCTCAGTCAAGTTAACCAAGATAAAATTAGAAAAACAAGAGCAGTACTAAAGCAAGAACTTTATCAAGAAATGTAAGAAATTCCAGAATTTTATTGAAGTCTCCAACGAACATACATATTTTTTGTATGCAGTCTAATAATTATAACGTAAAGTATGTAATCCTCCCCTTCCCAGTGACTCAGCGGTAAGTCTGAAGGCTTATTGAGCTAAAAACCGGGTTTCGATACCCGTGGTAGACGCGCAACAGATAAGCTTTGTGCTTAACAACAAACAAACAAAAAACTATATGATCCGAAAAAATATGCAATTTATACATGTTTATCAGGTTAAATATTCAACGAAATATATATAATAATGATATACAAAACAAAGTTTAAGCTTTTATTGTTGTGTTAACTTTTGAAATAATGTTAGTTATATCTATTCACTTGTGTTTCTTATAATACCACATCTCTATAACATCAGGGCAAAGCACGCCCTCTAGGAATAATAAATATAGGTTACACTCAGCCTACTTTCAGAGGTCAACAGTTTATTCTAATTAGGGTATAAATGTCGCGGATATCATAATTCAATCAAAGCTTTGTTCTTCTAAGTTGCACACATGTATTTCCTGGACAGACTGTCTCTCTAATAATTAAATTTCAGTTTACGAAGTTTCACTTTTTCAAGTCTCCTAGATTCAATTTCGTTTGTTTGTTTTTTTAGCAGAGTTTCAGTTTTGTTATTCTAATAAATTGGAGCAATTTATTATTGGTGCATATTACGATTTAAAAGTGTTTGCCAACTTCTGTAGTAGAATGGAAGACTGGTCAGAAGAAAAAATAAATGGTTTCATAATAAATAAATAAAAATTAGGAAAAACAACAGAAACAAGGAGAAACTTTTAGTATCTCTTAATAAAAAATCAGATTAAACTTTGAAATATCAACAACAAATAAAAACAACAACAACAAAAGTTTTGATATTGAAAACAAAGCACAGTTACTTCTCCTGAGGGGATGATAATGATGAGGCATTGAATATCCTCATAAAAGATAAAAATGTCCTAAGACTATTGTGGGGTTCACATTCGAATCATAGTTCCTTATTCGTTCAAGAAAAGGAAAGAACGCTGGGAAAGTAGAGGAGGGAAGTGCGGGTAAAATGTTTATGCATGTAAAGGAAGTGTGATTCCTGAGATGCCAAACATTGATAGGCTGTAGCCAGCTTCTGGATTCAAGATAACACCCTCGTTGTGGTTGACAGCGAATGTGACGTATGACTTGCAAAAGAAAAAGTCGACTTGCTAAGTCAATAAATAATTCAAGACTACGTGTTGGCTTGTTCGCTCCGAGGCTCTAAATCCATCAAATACCAGTCAAACGATATGATCAGTGTTGATATGCTTCTCAATTTAGAAGTAAAATGTATTTTTTTGACCAAAACGATGCCCAAAATAACCCGTAACTAACACTTTGCGGACGAAATTAGCTCCCATGTTCTTTCATGAAGACAAGCCAGCACAAACAACATGTATTCCTGCATGAGCAGATATATTACATTATATTTCAATAAAAAGCTGCAGGTGTTATAATAATCTAGAAGCTGAAAGATTTGGGATAACAGGTATTCTAATAAATCATTACAAGAAGACGAGATTGAAAAATGCGCTTTTTAAGTAGCTTGAAACTTCAGCAAACTTGTTTTAAGAATCGTTGAACCCTTTCTTCTGTTTTTATTACTTTTTACTACTTCATAAGATAGAGAAAACGTATAACGTTAGTTTTATATTTTTTATGAGTACCGTAAAACGGGCGGACAGATATTTTGCAAATGGCGATGCATCAATGGCTCTCAATTCTCAAGCTATAGCTTAAAGTCATAAAGTTGTGGATAAGTGGGTCAATTGTACCTCAACTGGATCTCATGGGGACATCTTAGAATCCAGAACATTAAAAGAACTTATAAAGTGTCCTTAATCACGCCATTAACATTAAGAATTACCTGTTGTCCCCCTTTTTTCCAGCACTAAGCTGTGTATGGATAACCAAAATATGTTTATAAAGCCACAAAAGTTTACAAAATAAGCATTCCTTATCTCACTAAATGTTTTGAAAAGGAGGTAATCGTGTGCTTGTTTGTAAAAAATAACAAAGCTACACAATGGGCTATCTTTGCTCTGCCCACCACGGGTATCGAAACCCGGATTCTAGAGTTATAAGTCCGCAGACATACCGCTGTGCCACTGGGTAGCATAATCGTGTGCAAACGTATAATACAGATATGAGATATGATAAAAAAAGTAAACTGTATTATCTGCGACAGTATTGTTTTGATTGGCTGAAATCTTAGATACTAAAGTCAATATCATGGAAACACTGCAGTAATCTAACTAATAGTCCACTTCAAATTTATAGTAAAGTTAGGTGAAGTAGAGTTTTTCCTAATCACAATTGAAAATATAAAAGTTTCATAAGATCATCCCGTTCCTTTGATCATGTTAAAATGGAAAGTTTCATAGGATCATCCCGTTCCTTTGATCATGTTAAATGGAAAGTTTCATAAGATCATCTCGTTCCTTTGATCATGCTAAACTCGGCAAAATTTGTATTGATATCAAGAAAAAAGTATTGAGAATAAAAACGATCACTTTAGACTGACCTATTAATCAGCATCTTTTGTTTTTCAATGCTTAGGATCATTTTCAATTGACCACGTTTAAATGTGTATAATGGATAAATGTAGGACACTAAGAGACTTGGTATGGAAATGCTGAAAATGAGTGAATTTATATCAGAAAAAAAAAAAACTGTGATTTACAAGAAAATATCTTATTCAGTTTTCATAGACACACTCGTAGATCAGTGTTTTGCTCTGATATTATGTTTTTGATCAACTAATTATTTACTAAGCTGTTCTGTATTCGAAGATACCTGACTATAAAGTTATTGTTTGTGTTTAAAGCAGCGTTTCACAAACTTTTGCCACCCACGTCCCTACCTGGTTTCGAGCGAGGGCCCCCTGTCTTTTTTTAAATGAGTGAAAGTGTGAGTTAAGTGACGAGATGTAATACAGGAATACACATTTAAATACTATATGTGTTGTAGCAATTAATTATGATTTTAATTAACAGAAAATATATTAAAATAATTAATTTTGTATTATTGCACTATCGAACCTATCCTAATCACTCTCGCACCCCCCCTCAAGAGATCATTTACGGCTCCTTCTAAAACTCTGGTTTAAGGACAAAGATGAGCAATGTGGTATCTATGCCGTACCCACCGCAAGGCTCGAACTCTTAATTTTAGCGCTATAAGCCTCAATATACTGCTTTGGTAGTATTGATAGTGTTGATTCATAACAATATACACACCATCATGCGCTGCATGTACTACTCGAGTTGATTAATTTTAATTCATAATAAATGCACCAGAAAAGAAATAAATAGTGTAAATCACGAGGGATACCTAATAACTTTTAATGCGTGAGGTTAGGATAGAAAGGAAGAAAGTTTTTGAAAACAAGAATCGTTCAGTCCTCAATACACATCTTAGCTCCCTTACAAGGATGGAGATGCATACAAGAAAGTAAACTATTTGGTTGCTGAAACCAAACATGACGAGGATTAATAATATCATATATCAATTGACCATTTGACTTCTTCAGCTTGATGTGAGCTAATACGTTAAATAAATCTCGACCTGGAGCCCAGCTATGTTCATCATCCTACATGTAATATTATTTCGAACGTTATGAGTTGAGACAAGGTTGTGAACAAAAATAAAAAACAGGAAAAAAGCCTCCATTATTACACCAATAATAGTAAAAATAATTTCGTAATTACACATCAAATTTGTCGATCTTGCATAGATTCGATATATTGATATGAAAGAACATTGGATATTGAATTGAGAAAACAAATAAAAACTTTAAAGCTTTATAAGTAAGAGTACCTAAACGTGTTTACTTTTAAATACAAATGTTATTTTAATAGCCTAAACTATATCTTACAATATTTTACTCGTTTCTCAAACAAAACGCGTTCTTTTGACGAACTCACCTGTTTTGCCAACCTGTTTACTTCCCAGTACCACGATGCGTGCAGACACGAGATTTGTCATCGTAGCTTACAAACTAATGTTTATTATACACTAGGACTAAGAAAGTTTTACTACCGAAGACTAACGATGCACTACAACACTGTCAGCATGAATGAAGCCACGCAGAATATGCTACACTCAACAATACTTCTCTGTATTTGACGCCAATGTTATTGTGATGTCACAGAACAGGCCAGACAATGTCCTATAAAAATGCGCAACAAGTTGTCATGATTTACTTACTCTGTTGCTTGCTAAACATTTTGATAGCTAATACGATCCAGATGCTTATTTGGATCATTACTGTGTGTTGAGAAGCTGTATGTGATCCTTAAACTTACGTAAACTGAATCACTGACTCAATTCTTCGAAGTCTGAGCCCAAACAAACGTAGCGCCCACACCTTGCTACCTTCCAGCGTGACGTCATGGTCTATCGGGAAACACCAAGATGTAGTTTATATTTAGCGCCTCCTATGGCATTCACGATAGGTCTGGCTTAGTCAGTCCTATTCTCTCGAACAGAGCACGAGTTTGAGTTCTCAGATGCATATCCTTGAATCTGCTTTCGCTCGCATGGCTACGATCGGTGGTTTATATACAATATATCTCATGGACTTTGAGTTATATTATAGCTTCAACATACTTCAAGATGAACATTGTATCATAACTGGAAGCGTAAAGGCTCGTCGCTGTATTTACGTCAAACGAAAACATTCATAATCTCGTGGGATTTTCACGTGATACCATTCATCAAGTATTAAATGACTAAATAATCCATAATTTTTCAGATGATAAAATGCTATCATAATAACTAATATGGTTACCGCCACCCTGGTGGATCAATGGTAAACTTGATGACTTATAACTATAAAATTCGGAATTCGATACCCACGGTAGGCACAGTGCACATAGCCCATTGTGCAAATTTGCACTGAAAAACAAACAAACTATGTTTGCCCCAAGTTAATAGAGCAAGTTGCATTTTCACTCCGTAGAATTCACGCTGTTTTTATAATACTATCAAGAGTAACCCATAAGTTGGCGGTGGGTGGTGATGACTAGCTGTCTTCCCTCTAGTCTTTCACTGCTAAATTAGGGACAGCTAGCCCAGATAGTCTTCGTGTAGCTTTGCGCGAAATTAAAAACAAACAAATAATACGATCATTTTAAATCAAATGTAGTGTTTAAAACTTGGTTATCGGTGTTATACCATTTATCAAAGAACTCCATTAGTTTCCCGTATATATATCAGTTCACTTGTTATTATTCAGTTCAAAAACGACACATTGTTGCTACATATTTTAACCTACTTTTATGTGTGACGCTTCTTTGGTCAGTAATCAAAACAAACCATGCTGTTATTCGCTTTACTTTAGTTAACTGGTTCTCTGCAACCTACGTAAAACCTGGTGAATGAATGAATGAAAGTAGCTTCTAGTTAAATGACGAGGATCTATAAGATGGGAATTTTATCAACACTTCATATTTATTTCTTTACATATATTTTGCTCATTCTATCCAACAAACGTTGGACACTACAAGAGCTACCAGAAAATCGCTTTTACTCTCGTCCATAACTTACTCGCAAAAACGTCACGTGCACACCGAGTGCTCACATTCCACCTTCAGTCGCTGTTCGATTAATCGGAAGTGTCATGGAGTATTGTCGCAGCGCCCTGAACACCTTCACATGTGGGAACTGTGGTATTGTGAACCCATGTCCCATGTGCCGTTTGAGACTGAAGTATCACATTACTGACACAGCGCTCCACTGTTCTAGTGCATGAACGACACAAGTAATTTCAGGCTTCTCTGCTATCATGTTGAGTCTAAAATTGGTACTCCTTCCATGAAACATGGTAAGGCTGAATCATTGCACAAAGAAAAACTATTCCCTTCACTACTGACCCACACGTGATACAGGTCATTTTTAGACAGATTTTCCTGTGTGTATGTATGATACCACGTGCTTGAGCTATTGCAGAGGGCTGAATATGTTATATTAAAAAAGACATAAGATTGTGGTGGAATGGCATGTATCAGAAGTATATTTTGACATTGCTTGGCTTTACGTGGGTAGTGAGATGCCACCGAAAATTAATTACTTTTAGGAAGATTATGTTTTCTTAGAGCAAAAGTACACAATGGACTATCTGCACTCTGTCTTCCATGGAGAATCGGACTCCAGATTTTTTGTGTTGTGAGTCCATAAACTCACTGCTGACTGACTGGGGGATTTTTCCATCTTTGTATCTGTCATCTGACACGAGTTGGTGACAAACTGCTTTCTGTCTTGTGACTTTAACAGTACCAGTATCTACCAGATATGATACCATAACGCATAACAAATACTGAGGTTTGTGTATCAAGAGTACCACATCTAAGTATGTTTTGAGCACATAACACATTTTACATGGCTGTTGTCTATTCACCTTATGTTCAGTCTTAAACGTTTATGGCTTGCATGAGGATGCATCAGAGATGAACGTGGGGATCGTCATGTCACAGCTTTTGGAATAATGGTATAATACTGATGTCATTTGGTGCAAATGAAACAACATTTGATAGGAGTTTTTTTTTTTGCCTCGTCAAAGATATATTCGTAGTTCACAACTGTGTGGACTCCGTATGCGCCTGTTCTCTTTACATATCCACAAGTGACTGAATAATATCTGGTCAACTTTACTTATAAACACCCAGAAAGCAACGCTACAACACATAATTGGTAACACTACTATAAAAGTGTCTCAATTTCATTGTAGAATGTAATTTCTAATGTGTAACCAAGTGATAGGACTTTACTGATAAAGTTGCGATGTCACTGGCTGCTACTAATGATGTACACGAAATTAATGTAGATTTGTTTAATGACTATCTTTTGTGTGTTGTATATTTGTATCATTAAATATAGGTTTAACAGTTTGAAATGTAATAAAACATAGATCTTTATACTTTTAAACAATCAAAATGTTTATGACAAAATAAACAGTACCATCTTTAAACAATATTATCTTTTGATATTCATTAATCTTAAGATGATAATCAACAAATTGAAGATTGTAGTTATTTGAGGATAGCGTTCATATAAACAAAAGGTTGCGAAGAAGGATAAATAACCTTAAACTGAGAAGAATTACATAAAGGAAATATATATATTACTCAGCTTTATTGCTTTACTCAGTATTAGGTAAAGATAAGGCTACAAGCTAAGCCTTTAGATGGATATTTGGTTGAATGGTAATTCTTGCATGCTGAAACGTTCAAATACAAGATATAGAAGAACAAAAGTAATTACACAGATTTTATGTTAGTAAGTGAGAACATTGTTCTGACCAGACTTTGACTTTAATATTCATATTCACATGTAGAATTTTACAGTTTCTACAAACCACAAGAAAGTTACACAAGGACCTTGAGCGCCACTTTTATAGCATATCCACGTATCCAATGCGCGAAGAGCGTTTCTGTGGCAAAGGGATGCGAATCTTGAATCTTCATTTTTACAGTCCAGGCACACTAACCACTTGATGTGTCACAGGTTGACGATAGAGAAGTGAATTATGTTGAATTTGAGCATTGATGTTTCTCTGTAAATTCTCCAAAACACGGGTGTGGTTAAGGATTATAAAGGTGAATTACTTTATGTCATTAGTTCCTTTAATACAACAATAAGAATCGCTAATAAAATATACGTAATCACCTGTTTCACCTACATTAAAGGTGGCATTGTTCCTCTGATTTCCTTAAAAAAATTCAAACTTTATTTGAAATAGTTATGTTATTTAAAAGCTGAAGTTTAAATGCCGAAAACTGGCAAAGTATTAGAAACTCATAGGCCTAAAATGTATAATTTTTTTTCTTCAAATTTTAGGTTTAATGGTTTCTAATGCTTTGCTAGCTTTCAGCGTTTAAACTGTAGTTTTAAAGTATTAAACTGCATGTATAATTAGTGTTTCTGGGAATCTTCTGTATTCCAACCAGCTATTTTACACCTGAGCCAGCTCTATCTTATTGCCTTCATAATCTTTCTTCATTCATTCTGCAAGATTATAGCACCTTCATCTGGTCCTGTCTAACCTATGGTCACACTTCATACATTTCAGTCTTTTCTGCATTTTCATATCTTCTACAGATCCTAGAGCGTCATGCTATTCGTGAACTGTGGGATTATATTACCTCTCATCAAACATATTTCCCAACTTCATATACAATATGTCACTCAGAGTTTTAAAAACTAAAATGTTATTATTGACGATTTATTTCCATCACTTGATCACCTGCTAAATCTGAACTTGAAGTCTTCTTCACATAACTGACCCTGATTATGATACCGCACCAATCACTTATTTACCCTAGTTACCATCCTGTAATTATCCAAAATAAAAATTCAACTGTATATTTGACATTGACTATAGTGTACCATGGATAGTGTGATATTATCTATCAAACAATGCCCAGTTTCTGCCATTCCTCTCTTAACCAACGCTTTATACACATTTCCTTCCTATTAGAAGTATATTCTCTTACCCTAAGAGAGGGAGTTATTTTGATGGACTTAAATTTATAATGTTTAAATATATATATATATATATATATGCATATACATTGTTCTCATAGTCCAGGACATCTAGCGAGTTCTGGTATTGTACGAAAAGCATCTTCGGCAGTGACTTGTGGGAGACAAAAGATAGATATGAAAATCCAATTTTTACATACCTCTGATTTTGAATCCAAAATAAATAGATTAAGAGGAATGTGGAAAAGAATTTGCAGTTTACGTGATTTTTAGCATAAAATATTAGACATATTATTAATATTTAATATTTTATGCTTATAACTTGTTTCAAAAACGCTCATAAAAACCGCAAAACGAAAAATGCAAAACTCAAACTTTGCATGTATTCTCGCACAGACCTAATGAACCTCCATACCAATTTTCATGAAGATCCATCCAAATCCTGCGAAGTAGTTACATGGACATATAACAGACAGTACTATTATATTTATATAGATGCAGGTTTGTGTGTGTGTGTTTTGCATATCATGTTAGTCAAGAAAGTCTTTAAGCTTCTTTCGCTCTTGTTCTGTCTCATTCACTAAAGATAACATCTTGTCTGCCTAAGGGGAAGACTGCTGTAAAGTTTTACTTAGTTTGCGAAAGTAAACAGCTGTTTTCTTCAGTGGTAGGTCAGGTGATATCTTGAGGCTACAACCTCCTTTATTTTCTAATGGAAATGAACGGTCGCGTGTTAGCGTAAGTCGTCTTAGAACAGCATGACGCTATAGTTTTAATTATAACACGTGATGTTTTCTCAGACGGAACAACCTATACAGATTTATAGAAAATAGTCTAAACAAACTATGGTAGATGGAATAACTTTTAGGTTTCAACTTACTAGTAAAGGCGTCTGTCCGTCGTGTTAAGTACACATACTGTTGTTTGTAAACTAAATAAATACAGTTTGCTTCACTTTTTAAATTTGATCCCAGTCTCTTTCTTGCACAGATTCAAAGTCAGAAAATTCATAATTACTTCTTAGTAAACATCTTGGTCGAATCTCCTGTTATTCTACAGATCTATTTTATTCACTATTGGGGAAATAAGTGTTGCCTGAAAATACTACAAAGCTT